CAGATATTTATAAGCATTTCTAAGGTCCCCTCTCAGCCTTCTCTTCTTCAGGCTAAACAAGCCCAGCTCCTTCAGCCCTCTCCTCATAGGAGAGATGCTCCAGTCCCCTCATCATCTTTGTATACCGTATATATCGATTCATCGATATGGTGAATCAAGCTTAGTCATGTGTGGCTGACGGAGACAAACGCTTGCTCCAAGAAAAGCAAAACTCTGGTGCCACAGGTCATGCAGTACTCTACAGTGGAAAAATATTACCAAGTGCTCTAGCAGCCATTCAGACAGAATTTAATAGGCCCAAAGAGATTGTTTTAAAATGAAGAAAAGCAAATCCAAAATGAGGGGAAAGTGGAACTGAAACGCAGGCTTCAAATTTATTAACTCACAATGTTTTATCTGGGGAAAATGACAAACCTCTGCAGGCTGTGTACAACTAAGCAAGATTTTGCCATTGAAGAAAAAACCAGACTATGTAATGTGTAGTGTACTTATTGAATGAGTGCTGCTGTCTTTTGTATGTCAGTCCCCCACAGTATTAGCAAATAGTACTAAAATGAAGACATACATTTGGTTTCGTGGTTAAAATTTGCGTTAAAATTTGTTTGCTAATAAGCTTAAGATAAGTATTTAAACATGGTTTGCTCTAGAGTGAAAATCCTGTTTCTCTTTTTTTTTTTTTTAGGAAGAGAAAGTGTGGAGCATTGACAGCTGTTTGTTACCACGTGTTTTTTTTTTAAAAACCACCTTTTAACCTCCTAGTTCTTGTCGTATACCAAATCTGTCAATGCCAAACATGGCTTTGGTGCCAGCAGTTTATGATTTCTCATTTAGCATGTAAATGATTGGTTATTATTTATAAAGCTAGCAATAACATCTGCAAAAGTGTTAAGAGTGTTCCCAGCATCCACTGATACAGCCTCTGCCTTAGGAATTCTCTCAGACTGTAAGCACCAGAAAATAGACAGGGGGATGAAATCACATATACAGAGAGTGAGCATGCGCACGTGAATGGGCATGCGGAAGTGTTACGCACATGCGGAGAACACCCTTTGACCTGACGCTAGCCAACTGTACCAGATAATCACAGTTTCTCACTAATTCCTTATTCCAAGAGGAATGTGTAGGAACGGTATCTGGCTTTTATGGAAAGTTTCTTGCTGAAAGGCTGATGACAAACCAGCGGCTGGTATCCCCGGCAGGGCAGAGAAGATGGGATGTGACAGAATCACATTATCCGCCTTCCTTGCCTCACTGCCTCTTCTAGGGTTTTACTAGGTCTTACCTTTGCTGTTTTTGTCTTGCTGTATAAATAGATGACAGGCGCTTTAAGTGTGTGTCGCAGCTCAGGGACAATTTGGGGAAGTCCCATTTAATGGGACAGAAAAAGCTAATGCTGGAAGAGACCAGCAGAACTGACTGTACCTTGAAGCAGGGAGATTTTGGTTCTAGGGTATTTCTGTTCTGTCAGGAAGAAGGATCTTCAGTCTGGAATAGAAAGGGTGAAAATAACTATTGTTCATTATGAAAATGCAATGAATGGGAGCTAGTAACCATTATCATTTTCAGTCAGAGGTTTTCAGCTGACAATTGAAAGAGGAATAAATCTATCAGAAGGTAAAAATAATTAGCTTTTCGTTTTGAACCTTTTTGAAGAAGAAAAGTGGTATGTAAAGGTTGTACCACCTTCACGTCAAACATATATAAACTAAAGGAATTTCACTCTGAAGCAAAAGCCTTACAACAGGTTTTATAGAAAGTAGCCTCTATAGACAGTGCAAAGCAGTTTCAGCTATTGCTCTTCGTGCTGAACAAAGTGCTTTCAAAAATACCGCTGCAGACATTTTAAAGAAAAGCAGTACTGAAAGCAGTTAATTTTCCTTCCTGTTCAGGAGGTGGCAGTGGCGACCCAGCAGTAGAGAGAGATCAGCTGGAATTTAAGTGGTACCTCAGAGAAGAATAAAGGATAAAATCATGAGAAATTCAATGGCCA